TTTGTGATATATGAATTACATGCTAATAAAACAATTTTTTTTGAAAAAGGGTCAAATCCATCCAATTGGGGGAAAGAACAGGCTCTAAATCCATTCATGGAGGGGAAGAACAGGCTCTTCAATAAATGATACTCAGACAAATGGATCCCCATAGACAAAAGAATAAGTTTGAACTCTTATTTCACAGCATACATGAAAAGTAATGCAAAATGGATCAGTGGCCTTAATTTAGGAACTGAAGTCATTAAACCCTTAGAAGAAAGCACAGGAATAAAACTTTAACACCTTGTCCTTGATAACAAATTCACAGACAGGACACCGAAAGCATAAGCAACAAAAGACAATGGGACTTCATCACCATCCAAAATCAAACTTTGGGGCATCAAAGGACTTTCTTAAGAAAATGAAGAAATACTTTGTAACAATCTATCTGTTAAGGGTTTACTATTCAAGATAGAGCTCTGGTGGTGCAATCATTACACAGGGGGCTGGAAACCACAGGTCGGCAGTTCAAAATCACCAGCTGCTCCTTGGGAGAAAACTGAGGCTTTTCTACTCCTCTAAGGATTACAGTCTTGGAAACCCATCCCGGTAGCTCTACTCTGTCTTATAAGGTGGCTATGAGTCAGCATCGACTGGATGGTAGTGAGTACTCTCAATTCACTGTCATTGAGTCAATGCCAACTCATAGTGACCCTATAACACCCTGCTCTCCCACTCCTCGATCCATAGCCAAAGGACTTGAAGGCAGATGCTTGCACACTAATACTCATTGTGACGTTACACACAATAGTCAAAAGGTAGAAACATCTCAAATGTATGCTGCTGTCCACTCAATAGAGGACTGAATAAGTGAAACAGAATATAGACAGCCAATGTAATATTTTTCAACATAAAGAAAAATGGAGTTCTGATACATGCCACAACATGGAAGAACCGTGAAAAGATTATGTCAGGCAAAATCAATCAGACACAAAAGAACAAACAATGTATAGCACCAATTATACAAACTCCTTAGAACAGGCAAATGCAGGGAGACAAAAGTTTATTAGTGACTACCAACTGCCAAAGGGGGATCGAAAGGAGAGTTATTGCTTACGTGGTCCAAGAGTTTCTGTGAGAAATGTCAACAAGCTGGAAATCGGTAATGGTGGTGGTAGCACAGCATGGTGAATAACAATGTCACTGAACTACAGTTAGAGATGGTTATGATGGCATTTTTTTGGTTATGAATATTTTACCACAATAAAATTGGAAAAGACATATTAAAAGAGAAATGCCAAGTATCAGTGTGAAATTTCTGAATAATTGACGTTTTTGACATTCCTTAGACAAGTGCAATCAATTATGCTTACAACATCATAAAAATATGCTGGGAAGAATTCTACCTTATAAATCTGGCTAGACCAGAGGATGTACACTGGTACAGATAGGAACTGGAAACACAGGGAATCCAGGGTGGATGATCCCTTCAGGACCACTGGTGAGAGTGGCGATACTGGGAGGGTAGAAGGAGGGTGGAGTGGAAAGGGGGAACTGATTACAAGGATCTACATATAACCTCCTCCCTGGGGGATGGACAACAGAAAAGTGGGTGAAATGAGATGTCGGACAGCATAAGATATGACAAAATAATAATTTATAAATTATCAAGGGTTCATGAGGGAGAGGGGAGCGAGGAGAGAGGGGAAAAACCGAGAAGCTGATTCTAAGGGCTTAAGTGAAGAGCAAATGTTTTGAGAATGTTGAGGGCAACGAATGTGCAAATGTGCTTTGCACTATTGATGTATGTATAGATTGTGGTAAGAGTTGTATGAGCTAATAAAACGATTAAAAAAAAGAAAAAATATGCTGGGAAGAATGATAACTATCCTAGGTTTCTTCCATCATTCGCCTCAGATTATTTTTAAAAACCAAATTGATACACAGTGCTGTGATCTTTTATCAGCTTCATGTGAAATGTGCTTCTGAGACTTCTGAATACTTCAAGAACAGTTAGGCTAAGACCTGATGGCCTCTAAATCCCATTATCTTTTAGCTTTATATTAATTTGGAAGCAACAATTGTGGTAAACTGAGAGACTGGATGAGAAGGTAATGCAGCTAAATCCTCGATGATTATAATTATGGGTCTGGAAAGCCTACTCCAGTTGGGGAAGGCCCTCACGGTTATGAGCTATAAATAAATCTTAATACACATTCTCATGACTGAACACAGTCCCTCCAAAACTCTCCCATAAAGGAACTGTCATAAAGGGGCTACCATAAAAGATGTAGCATTCCTGCATCTGGCTGTTTACTGGGCCTGGAGTTTGTCTGTAGTTAAGAGCTATCAGATTCTACTGCCTGTCCCACCTTAAAGTGTAGCAAACTCTCTTCCGATGACTACTTCTAATATGGATCATAGATTGTTCCCCCGGAGAAGGGCTTAGGGGTGTTCGAGGTCAGCTAGCACTAAGTCAAGACACTGAGTCATTTCATTGCCTGTTTATTGGGCTACCTGATTATGTTACGTGTTCGCTCTATGATGTATGGGCCTTTAGGAAGATCTTTAATCTCCATGATATATACCCAGTGAAAACCACATTCACTCTCTTGGTCCTGATATAGTGATAAGGAGCCCCTGTGCCTGTTTGTCTGCATGCTTTTCCATAATCTCAAAGTCGACCCTAAGGACCTGTTCAACTGTTGGGGCCAGAACCCCAACAAACACTGATAGCATAATGCCTTTCTCTGACATCTTCACCCAAAGGGCAGGTTTTGGACAACAACGAAAACCGATTGAGATGACTGTCATCCTTTAACTTCTAACACTGAGCACGACTAATAAAAAAGGGGAAGGGGAATAAAAAACACCGAGCACTATATCGAGCTCCTTCAAAATTTTTATCTTTGGTTTTGGTGTTTTTAAAGAATCGAAGCAGCAGGATGCACATCACCGTATCAGAATACACTATTATCTGGGACGGAGCAGCTTGCTGCAGGTGTGTTGCTCCCCTAACAGTCATCACACGTATGATGGGTCTCAAAGTTCACCACAGTAAATCTTTCGAGGCTCAGAGAGAATTACAGTCTCCCAGATGTTCAAAATCAGTGCATACCAAACCAACCCCCAGAAAGGGGTCCCTTCGTGTTGGTACTGAGATGTCTTTCCCACTGCCCCTGGGGGATAATCTATCAATTTAAGAAGAGGAAGTAAAAGGGTAAAATAGTCCATTTTCTTTTGAGTGCGCTAGTTAGCTAACATCTTTGTGCTGCTTTGTCCTCATTTATAAATGTGGTCTAATAATTTATCTATCCCACCGGGTCTTGTTAGAATGAAACTTATAATGTTAACAAAATGTCTGGCAAATAGCAATCACTAATGAATGGCAGCCATTACTATCATCATTAATATTTGAGGTTGGTGAATGAGTTTACTTTTTGGATAACCCAAACCAAGCAATTCTACTACTATCAGTTGATTCTATCTCATGGCAACTCTCTATAGGGCTTCTGAGACTAAAAATCTTTGTGGGAGCAGACAACCTAACTGTTCTCTTGCAGAGTAGCCGGTGGTTTTGAACCACTGACCTTGTGGTTAGTAGCCCACTGCTTATCCCACAGTGACTGTTTGCAGAGAGTTCTATAGGTGGACGGAGGTGGATTTCAGAAGCTAATCTGAAGATCATTACAGATTTTAACTATACACAGAGCGATCTTGGAAAATAATAACAACAGTGGACTGATCGCTAATAATTTGAAAGAACTTTAAATTAAACCTTGAAAAACACAAGATGGGAAACAAGACACACTAAAGAGTTGTGCAGTTTCCAGCTTCATTTAAGTGCCTTGTGTGGACACTGGGTGATATGCTTTAGTAGAGTGACAGACCAAGGCAAATGATGGAAGGTCTCCATATCTCGTACTGTATTCACTGGTTCTTTTAACTTCATCTCTGCTGTAGCACAGCTCTCGGCTGCACCACTTGGGCACAGTCCTTTTATCTCTTTGATCATGCTAATGCCCCTCAAACTTAGATGTTCAAAGTGATCTCTAGCTTCTACCTCCACACACACAACCTGTGTTCCTTAGCAAAGAAAACGAGAAAATGGAATTACCCACCACGACTGCTCAGTTTTGCAAGCCAGGAATCTAGAAGTCGTTCCTGGTATTTCCCCTCTTTTCTTCTCAAATCCAATCCATCGTTAACCACTGCTGATCTCACCTCCTAAATGCCCTTTAGCAACAGTCTGATTTAACTTCTACCATCTCTCTCCTAGACAATTGTTATTGTAAGAACCTCTTAACTCCTAAAATGTCAGTTTACCAACCTCCACCCAACAAGACTGCCTTACTCCACAACAATCTTCATGACTTAGTGTAGACGGAACCGTATTATTCTGCCACCCCAAATTCATATTTAATATTCGTGGATAAATTCTGATTGCTTTAGGTTGAAGAGACAAAGAGAAAAAGCAAAAATCAAACAACATTCCTCCACCTCCCCAACAAAAAAGCACCTCAATATGCCTCTGCTTGGCTCCTGTTCCTCCATACGTTTGCCTTCCCTTCGGCCACCCTTGGATAAGTGCTGCTTGCTCTTCCCCCTCTCTGCTGTCCCGCCTCAGTGCTGTCATCACCACTGCCTCCCAGCAGCTCCACTTGACCTCCTGGACCACACTCACGAGCAACGGCCACATGCCCCGACGAGCTTAATTACTTCTGCCTCCTAATCTGTCATTTCCAGGAGAAGGGGGAGTCCATCGACTGGCTCACCGATTCACCCCAGCCTAAGCACCGAGTCTGCTCCCTAGTCATACCCCCTAAAAACGCGTGGTCAAATAGATCGATGGTGGCCTTGCTTTCGGCGGAAAGGCCAGGCGATGCAACGGAAGGTTTCACAGGAAGGCCGTGGTAGCAAGCGCCCTGTTGGTTTGGTGACTATCCCCGTGAAAGTGGAGAAGCCGACCCGAGAGAAAGATGGGCAGGCTTCCTCCGGCTGCCCGGCGTCTGGCTTACCTTCAGCTTCAGCGAGCTTAGCTTTTCCTGGCGCAGGTGCTCCCTGAGCATGTCGCGGTGCAGCCGCTCCTGCTCGCGGGCGAACTCGCCCAGCGTGTACTGGCGCACGCTGTTGTGGCGGCTCGACATGCCCAGGGTGCTGCCCCCCTGACTGGGCACGCTGGTGAAGCCTTGCCTCCTGGTGAAGTAGTAGACGGTGACACAACTGAAATGCACATTCTTTGTCCTCAGCCGCTTCTCCCTTTTGAGGATGGAGGACGCTGCAAGAGAGAAGCAATTGGGTGAACAACTAGGACAGCGATGTTCTGCCGAGATCAACTCGAAAACGCGAGCTTTCCGATTCAGAGGCTACGGTCCACACCGTCTGTCCTACCCCATGTTGGTATAAACTCAAACCAAACTTGCTGCCGTTGAGTTAACTGACTCAGAGGGACTGTAGGGCCGGGCACAACTGCCCGAGACAGAAAGAAAGCCATTACCCTGGAGCAGAAAACCTCGTCTTCCCCTGGAGCTACAGGTTGTTTCCAACGAATGATCTGTGGTTTGCCGCACAAAGTGTAACCCGCTACACCAGCGGTTCTCAACCTGTGGGCCGCGACCTCTTTGGGGGTCGAATGACCCTTTCACAGGGGTCGCCTAAGACCATCGGAAAACACCTAAGTGTTCTTGCATTGAAGGAGGGCTTGAGCAGACGCCAAAGTCCTTCCACTTCCTCAATGTATTGCCATATATAAATATATGTACATAGGCCAATACCTGTTTATGAATAAAAAATTTACATAAGTGCACACCTATGTTTATATCTCTATCCATAGGTTTTCTTCCTAGATCTTTCTTGTTTCCTTTTACCTTCCATCAGCCCCACCATCACACTCCCGCCTTCTTCTGCTTCTTAGTAGTTTCTCTCAGCTAGATTGCTGTTGCTCCAACACCACCGGGATCTCTGCAGCCTCCTCACTGTTGCTTTTAATTCCTTAGTTGTTCCCCTGTCTATGGCATTGTTTGCTCACTGCTCTTGCTCCCCCCTCGTCCTCCCCCTCCGGAAACCCGTGGGTCCCATTGCCTTCTCCTCGGCTTGCTTCCAATGCCTATCTTATATAGGTAGGTAAAACAACAAAAATAGAGACAAAACAAAAAGGAAACAAAAGAACGAATAAAAAGAGAAAAAAAATGAAGAAATAAAAAAAACTAGCAAAAAATAAAACAATGAAAAAGCATACATAATTCCCGGTCTGTCTGCTGACCTTTATGGCTATTGGGCCTCTGCCAAGCCCTCCCTCAACCCAAAATCACTTTGTTCTCACAACCTGGCATTCTGTGATGCTCACTCTCCCAACATGATCACTGAAGACAAAATAGGTACATAAGCTAATGTGGTGAAGAAAGCAGATGGTGCCCGGCTATCAAAAGATATAGTGTCTGGCGTCTTAAAGGCTTGAAGTTAAACAAGTAGTTATCTAACAGAGAGGCAACAAGTCCACATGGAAGAAGCACACCAGTCTGTGCAATCATGAGGTGTCAACAAATCAGGTAACTGGCACCAGAAGACCCAAAACTAAACAAAACAAAAATATTGTTGAGAATGAGGGGGGTTGGAGTGGTGACCCCAAACCCATCTGTAGACAATAGGACATCCTCTCACAGAAAGGACACAAGGAAGGGGTGAGTCAAACAGGGCGCAGTATAGCACCGATAAAACACACAATATTTCACTGGTTCTTTGAGGCTTCCTCACCCCACACTCTCATGACCCCAGGCTTGCCTTTCAGTTCTGGCTAGACTGGAGCATGTACACTGGTACAGATAAGAACTCATGACACACGGAATCCACGTCAGATAAACCCCTCAGGAACAGTAACAGAAGTAGTGATACCAGGAGGGGAGGGATAAGGTGAGGGTGGGGAAAAGTAAGGGGAGAAAGGTAGGAAAGGGGAACCAATCACAATGACGGCAGCATAATAACGCCCCCCCAGGGGGGATGAAAAACAGAAACTTGGGTGAAGTGAGACAATAGTTAGTATAAGGTATGAAAATAATAATAATTTATAATTTATCAAGGGGTCATAGGTGTGGGAGAAGGGAGAGGGAGGGAAAAAAAGAGGAGCTGATACCAAGGGCTCAGGTAAAAAGCAAATGTTTAGAAAATGATGGCAACATATGTACAAATATGCTTGATACAATTAATATTTGGATTAAGAGCTGTAAGAGCCCCTAATAAAATGATTTAAAAACAAACCTGAAACCAGTATCTCATTAAATAGCACTGCAAAGCGAGAACCCAAACCAAGCCACACCGGTTGCTGTTGAGGTGATGCCCACTCATAGCTCCTCAAGAGGGCAGAGCAGAATTGCTCCATCGGGTTTTAAGACTATAATCTTAAAATTTTTTTATTTGAATAAATCACCTTATCAGGGCTCTTATAGCTCTTATAACAATCCATCCATCAAATGTATAAAGTACATCTATACATATGTTGCCATCATCATTTTCAAAACATCTTCTTTCTACGTGAGCCCTTGGTATTGGCTGAAAGCTGTCATCTTTAAGGAAGGCTGCACGGCCACGTCTTTCCCCCATGCAGCTGCCAGAAGGGTTCAAACTTGCTGACTCTTGGGTAAGCAGCTGGGTGCTTACCCACTATACCAGCAGCGCTGCTCCTCAAATAGAACTGCTAGCAGTGAAATCCATTCAATTCTATGCTGTCATAGTTGTTAGGTGCTGTCAAATAATTTTCCGCTCGGAGAGATCCCATGTGCCAAGTAGAGTTTTCTTGGCTGTAATCTTCATGGAAGCAGATTGCCAGACCTTTCTGCTGAAGAGCTGCTGTGTGTGTTTGAACCACCAATCTTTCGATTAACTGCCAAACTAACTGTGTTTGTGTTCCCTTACTCCAATTACAAGGTGGCACAAACAGTTAAGCACTTGACTTGTAGTCGAAAGGTTGGTGGTCTGAATCCACCTAAAGGTGCGTTGGAATACAGGACTGGCGATCAGCTTCCGAGGGACTTCAACCATGAAAATCCTGTAAACAGTTACACTCTGCCCACCCGAGGTTGCCACTTGATGGCAACTAACAACAACAACATGCACCAAGACAAACGAAAATGTCCCAATTCATACCAGAAACATACTGTGAGCTAAAGAGTAAGATGGACAGTGTATCAAAAAGGTTCAAAATATACACTGGATTTGGGAACAAAGTGAGTCACATTTTAATCAATTTTGCAATTGGAAACAGGATAGACACCATTTAGCTTAGTCCTTTTATGTAATAGATTCTCCAAGGGTTGGAAGTAACGACATACTGAATTAAGGAAAGAGATGGTGAACATGCTCGAGTAGAAAGACAGACAGAAGCAAACGATGAATAGAGAAGAAGACCTTGGATGGCAAATAAGCCAACCTTTATGGAGAGCTTTCCGTGTGCACTATAACGTGAAGGCCTTTACATAAGTTACTTCATTTTATTCTCACAACTCTGGGTTGATATTACCTGGTTTCCATTTTGAAAGGATTCTTGGTGACAAAGCGGTGAAAGCACTCAACTGCTAATCAAAGGTCAGCAGTTTGAACTGGTAGCTGCTCCGTGATAGTAAGGTGTGGCCGTATGCTTCTGTAAAGAGAGCCTTGGAAAATCCATGGGGACTGTTCTACTCTGCCCTACAAGAGCGCGAAGAGATGGAACTGACTGGAGGGTGGCAGATTTGCAAGTTTTGTTTTATGTTTTTTGTTTATTTTATCCATTTGAGACAACCAAGGCACCCAAAGTTAAATCGCATGCCTAAGATCACATAACTAATGATGAAATGAGAAGTCAGTAGCGAGCTGGTACTATTCTAATGAAATTGAATCAAGTGACACATGACTCCTTACTATTTCTGGTTGATGTCAACTGCTGCTGGCTTCAAGATGATTTTGATTTTGGAAGGTTATGTATGCAAGGAAAGAAAATCAACCATAATATCACTTTGTGCCCATGCAAGTATCTTCTAAGAAAGGTCAAAGTCAGCTTTCTTCCCCACCCCCACCCCCCAATAATTTGGTAGTCAAACCCATTACAGAGAGGCTTGGCATATTTATTTATCCAACAGATAGAGATTGAGGACCTATTAGGTGCCAGACACTTTTTAGATGGTGGAGCTATATCATTAGAAACAACAACAAACAGATGGTAATCCCTGCCCTCATGGAATTTACACTCCTGCAATGAGAAATGGAGACAGACTGAATAGATTCGGAAAATTACAGAGGAAGAGAATTGTGACATTTGAGCAAGAATTATGCCTGCCCAACTTTCTCTTCTCCCTACTCATTTACTCCTCCAGAGAGATTGCCAGACAGCAAATGCTTTGAAACGTGTATGTAAGTTTTACATTTATTTATATATACGTTCATTGCAACATGCTTGTACTCCTGGCAGCAGAGACTATTTCTAACTTTGATTTAAGAGCTCTGATCTGCTTCCGAGTTGTATGTTTAAATCATCTCAAAACAGAGAAGCATTTGTCAAAATGTAAAAGATCACTGTAAAAAGCAGAACCCAACAATCTGCCTGGTAATCGGCTACCGAATCTGACAACCTCATCTGTCAACACTTTACGGCCACATACAAGCTATGATTTTTGGGAGGATAGCCTTCCATCTCTTCTTGACACATATCAAAAAATTGACATCATTAAGACATCATTATCTTTCAACATGTACAGATGCGGAAGGAAAGGTTTTAATGTATTCATTTAAAACAATGATTATCAATTTATTATTTGCTTCTGCCTCTACTTATTCTTTAGACAATTCATGTTAGACAAATTTTTTGGGAAAGTGTGTTAGTTCGGGTAGACTAGAGAAACATATCCGTAGAAACTCATATGTGTATGAGAGAGTTTAATATAAAGGGTAACTGTACATTAAGAAAGCATCCCAACCCAGTCCAGTCTAAGCCCATAAGCCCAATATTAGCCCATTGTCCGAAAGCAATCTGTAAAGTCCTCTTCAGACTCATGAAACACATGCAATGATGCTGAATGCACGATGATTACAGGCCAGTGGATGCAAAGTCTTGTGGGTCCAGTAACATTGTAAACATCTCAGCGCTAGCAGGGGTCTCCACATGGCTTCTCCAGCACCCAGGGCTGCATCAGGGTAGGTCCATGTGGCTTCTCCTCAGGGATGTCTCAGTGGGAATCAGAATTCCCAGAATTCTCAGAAGGCCATGCCCACACAGAGGCCTCATTGGCTGTGACCCGATTGACAGACTAG